CTCGCTACGCTGCTACACAGGGTCTGGATGTAAGCCTAGGAGCATGCATTCAGTGGCTCCGCTAGCTACACTGGGTACGCTACTACATAGTGTATAGAGGAAACCTAAGGAACATGCATGCTGTGGCTACGCTAGCTACACTCGCTACGCTGCTACACAGGGTCTGTATGTAACCCTAGGAGCAGGCCTTCAGTGGCTACGCTAGCTACAACGACTACGCTGCTACACAGAGTCTGGATGTACACTGTCTACGAGTCTACAGAGGTTCTTGAGGTAAGCTTAGGAGCAGGCATTCGGAGGCTACGCTAGCTACTCTGACTACGCTGCTACACAGGGTCTGGATGTAAGCCTAGGAGCAGGCATTAGGAGGCTACGCTAGCTACAACGACTACGCTGCTGCACAGAGTCTGGATGTACACTGTCTACGAGTCTACAGAGGTTCTTGAGGTAAGCTTAGGAGCAGGCATTCGGAGGCTACGCTAGCTACTCTGACTACGCTGCTACACAGGGTCTGGATGTAAGCCTAGGAGCAGGCATTAGGAGGCTACGCTAGCTACACTGACTACGCTGCTGCACAGGGTCTGGATGTAAGCCTAGGAGCAGGCCTTCATGGCTACGCTAGCTACAATGACTACGCTGCGACACAGAGTCTGGATGTAAGCCTAGCATGCATTCACTAGATACGCTAGCTACAATGGCTACAGAGGTTCTTGAGGTAAGTTTAGGACCAGGCATTCGGAGGCTACTCTAGCTACTCTGACTACGCTGCAACACAGGGTGTGGATATAAGCCTAAGAGCATGCATTCAGTGGCTCCGCTAGCTACACTGGCTAAGCCACTACAGAGGGTATAAAGGTAACCTAAGGAACATGCATTCAGTGGATACGCTAGCTACACTCGTTACGCAGCTACAGAGGGTATAGAGGTAACATTAGGACATTGAATGCGGTGCTTTTGCTAGCCACACTGGTTAAGCTCAGGAGCAGGCATTCGGAGGCTACGCTAGCTACACTGACTACGCTGCTACACAGGATCTAAATATAAGCCCAGGAGCGTGCATTCAGTGGCTACGCTAGATGCACTCGTTACGCGGCTACAGATGTTCTGGAGGTAAGCTTAGGAGCAGACATACGGTGGCTACACTGGCTAGGCGGCTACACAGGGTCTGGATATAAGCCTTTGAGCATGCATTCAGTGGCTACGCTAGCTACAATGGCCACGTGACTACAGAGGGTTCTTATTGTGGAGATCAAAGTGGTCTGTAACATGGTGAAACATGATATGTTCCATTATCTTGCATGGAACTGATGTAAGAGACACAGGCCTGTAGTTTACTGCCTCGTGTCTGCGTCTTTTCTTGTATATAAATGAGACATTGGCATGTTTCCAGTTTGAGGGGACTGTCCCTGCATCTATGGATTGTTGGAAGATGATTTGCAGGTATGGTGAGATGATATCGCTGCATTCCTTAAGGGTATGAGGTCAGGTCCTGAGGCCTTCGCGGGGTTGAGGCCTTTGAGTAATTTGTTGATTCCATTGGTATTGATTGTAATGTTTGGCATAGTTGGGATTTGGCTGGGTCCCAGGGTTGGGAGAGTTGGGTCTTGGTTGTTCAGTGAATACACTGTTATATTACTCATTGAGAATATTGGCTTTTTGTGTGGCATCTGTCATTTCATTGCCATCCCGTAGTACACTGTAAAAGTGCTGAATTTTGATTGTAATGAGTCAGCTCGCTTGTAGATGTGCACTTTACGAGGTTTTTCCTTTGTATTTTCATTTTAATGTAAATGTCACATATGACTGCCTTGTGATCACTCACTGAAACATTGTCTGCGAGGTTAGGACATGTAGTGAGGATAAGGTCGAGAATGTTGTTTTGTCGTGTGTGTCTTATGAATAATGGTATCAGTTGTGCATCAGATTGGAATTAAAATAGCACGTGATGTTTTAAAGTTAGATATAATTTTTGTATTGATTGAATCATGAAGAACAGTTATTTGAAACTGAAAGCCACTCTGCATTGTCGGGAATCTTACCCACAAACCTTTAAAATGTGTATTTGTCATCCTCTAATGCTGATGCATGCGTGGTTGTGTGCATCTTTCTGGCTGTTTTCGTAGGTGGATGGACACCATAGGAAAACCTGCTTACCTGTTCAACTTGAAATTTTTACAGATGCAAGAACAGACTAATGCCAAGATCTGATTAGGATTTGGGCATGCTACTTAAATGCATTGGTAGCTATTTTGAATTTTTTGATAAAAAAGGTGCAATTTTTATCACTGTTGTAATTTTCTTGTGCTCTTGTATCAAGGCTGGAATTTCTTTGTTCTTCACCTGCCACGGTGGGTTGTTTGTAAGGTAGGAGGGAGGGCTTTATACAACACTATCATTTCTACTAACATTTAAAATTTCTACTAACATTTAAACTAAACCATTCCTACACTTTAACTATTTAGTAATCATATCACATAAACTGTCCCCTCAGTTTTAGGCGATTACGCGCCCGCAGCACAATTCCGCATATTTTACCATTGCCCGCATAATCCACACACAAGCGCATAAAGTTGCATAAAAGACAAAAATCTTCAGTTATATATATCACAAGAATATATGTTATATCATTTTGAAACAACAGCTATTAACGGTAGCTTTATTTTTAATCTATGAACTGCTGATATGACTATGATACTGATCCTTACTGTTTTTTTTGACTACGAGTTCAACTGCCACATTCGTCAACTATCCGCACTTTGCCCTTATGTAGTTGCTAGGTAATTACTGTGATGTCACCTATTTCCATTGTGTATACTTATGATGGTTTACATGAAAATGTTTGATGTATAATTTGATTAAATAATTGTTAATTGTCATTGTTTAGTATGCTTCTTCCCACATATGGCCCATATATGGAACACCTTCTCTGTTGGGATACCACTCCCTCACCTTATGGACCACACAATTTGGCAAAAGTTCCCTTCTACAATTAATTAGTTCTCTTAGGTTGGGGTATTCCTCTAAAGCCCATTCTTTCATTATTCCACAAGGATTTGTAGGCCACCTTTCTAAATTTGTTATTTATATCATGTGGATGATGTGGAGTATCAGGCCACCAAGAACTCTGTGCATTGTATTCATCAGTGATGCATGGGTCCTGAAGACAATATGGGGATCTTGTTTCATTTGTATCATCCTCATCATCACCTTCAGGGTCTGATGGTTGTGATGCTGCTATTGTCATATGTTCAGATGATTGTTCACTGAATGCAATACTATTGAGGATTACATCGTTTGTTGGTTTTTTAATTTTCCATTTCTTTGTTCTAAACAATAGCTTAATGCTCTTCTCTTGTGATTCAGTAAGAAAATATGAAACAATACGTTTTTCAGATGTGTTAGACATGGTTACTACTATAAGACTATCTTACATATTGTGTAGTGTGTCACGACTCTTGACCAGCAGATAGACCCCCCACATACGAAAATTTGATGAACCTCGCCCATGGTCAGCAACAGAATATCCTTGATAACATCAAATTCATGATTTATAATGTGATTTGTATTTGTTGTAGCAAGACATTGCTTTGGGTGCTTAGATGTGACATGTCATGAAAGGGTGGTTAGAGCTAACATTCCACATGGTATATTAAAAAGGGATCATAGGAAAATGTGTACGGAAATTATTAGTAGCTACCATATGCTTATGGGTAGAGTCACATTTGAGGTAAATGTGTATTTGATACCGACCCTGAACTACATACCCATCCAATGTCATGCAAAGCAATCCAACCAAAAAGGCAATCAGGATATCTCATTTGGAGTGTTTTGATTATCACCCCAGGAGAAAAGCTTGGATGAGAAAGGAATATCTCCAAGATCATCCCATTTAATTAGAGCTATGGGTGTATCATTTGAATTTATAGGGGCATGGCATCAACTATGAGACTTATTTTCCCATGTGGTCTTGAAATGACACTTGCTATATTTATTCTATATTGTACAATTCTTCGAAAATTTTGAACTTGTTCAAAACCTTTAACTCCCTTAAAACCCATGTTTTACATCTAATGTAACATCTGTTTATCATCAAATAAGGATAGATCTAGAAACTATAGGCATCAGCTACAGTCATATACAAAATCACCCCTCTCAAAAAAGTCAAAATTTTCAAAAAATCAACAATTTTTTCCTCGGCTCCTACCGATTCAATTAGTTTGAACCTCTCAGGGCTTAACCCTAGAAGCCCTAAGGTAAAAATACTCTAACGAACTCCCAAGGGGGGGGGGGGTCAAAAGGGCACCCCCCTTGTAACTTTTTTATTATTAGAGCTAGGATGTTCAAACTTTCCCCACATATACTTCATTCAATTATCTACAACTTGGTATAATGACTATAACTACTACGATGGTGTAAGATTGCGTAATTTTATTCTTAAGATAACATGTATGGTACAATTTGTGCTAGTTTTTTCTGATTTTGTCTATTAGAGCTGATTATTACATTATGATAATTTAATTTTCAAAATATACTTCATTCAATTATCTACAACTTGGTGTAAAGACTTAAACAACTATGATGATGTAAGACTGCGTAATTTTATTCTTAAGACAACATGTATGGTAGAAATAGTGCTAGCTTTTTCCGATTTTGTCAATTGGACCTGATGATTACATCATAATAAATCCATTTTCTAAATAGGCTCTAAATAGTAAGAAAATGGGTCACGAATTTGCCCCCTGGGGTACATACTTTGTAGTATTATTCAAATTCTGTAGGAGCGTTTGGCATTATTTATTTTGCAAATGATTCATATATATAATGTCTATGTGTGTAACTTACAAACATCAAGATATCTAAAGTTATTGAGAATGAAAAAAATATTTTCCCGGGGTGGGGTGTTTTTTTTTTTGGGGGGGGGGCTAACCCCTGAAAAAAAGAATTATGTACCACTCGGTGAAGCTATCACCTAGGTAGAATTTTCATCAAAGACTTCCTCCTAACTGAAAATGCTGCCAAATCAACTATACTCCATTTATTAATAATTTTCCTCCTCGCTCTTAGAGTATAAGACACCACACATAAAAAATTTTGGCCAATATTCATATTTTTATTGTAATATGATGTATCTATATTTGTCCTTTAGATATCCTCAGATATTCCATATTTTTGATATTTTTGTGAATCCATCTTTGTTTAAATATCATGTACTGTATCCATATTTGTAATCCGTTATTACATTGCAATATAACGTAATGTATCAATAGTTGGCATGTCATGTTGTCTATTTATTTGAAATAAAATGTATCCATACTGGCATTTATGTATTCATTTTCATGATAAATGTATCAATTTTGGCACTCAATTACATGAATATCCATATTGGTAATACTATGTATCTTATCCAAAATCCATGAAATATATCAAACTCCATGAAGGTCAATTCTGTCTACTAGAAGATTTAGTTATGGAGGGTTGTACTGCTTCACATTCATAACTAAAAATAAATAAAAATAATATTTGATTTCAATCTCACCTTGTACAGACAATGCTGAATCTGAGGATTTAAACAGGTGCATATGTTAGGCCAATGCATCATCTCCAGGAAAAGCACTCATATAGAGATGATAAAATAATTTCGACTTTGAGACAGGGGAGATGCAAACACATGTTTTTCCTAAATGTTGTTCTGATTTTCAACCCCTTCCACCCCTGCTTTTTCAATTTTTGTTGCATCAATATGTTGCATTTTGACACACAATTAACCCCTTTAAAGGAACAAGTAATTCCTCCAGGGGTTTTAAAGATATCCATTATGGGTGACCAAAATTAGCTGAAAGTAATGGATCGCACGAGTATATATGAATAACAAGAGAAATATTGTTTTCTACTTTATCAAAAAGGAATCACTTATTCTTTTAAATGGTTAACTGTGTAATAAAATGCAACGTATTGATGCAACAAAAATTGAAAAAGCAGGGGTGGAAAGGTTTGAAAATCAGAACAACATTTAGAAAAAACATGTGTTTGCATCTCCCCTGTCTCAAAGTAGAATTTATTTTATCATCTCTATATGAGTGCTTTTCTTGGATATAATGCATTGGCTTAACATATGCACCTGTTTAAATCCTCAGAAAATAGCCAAAATCTAACATATGACTGTCCGAATCTCTCTGGTAATTAAATTTTGTAATATCTAAACACCAATTGGATTGAGATATTAAGCAAGACTGATTTACGTCAATAATTAGTATAATAGGAACGAGAGGTTCCCATGCACCTATCAGGTGTGAACATATAGCTTCTGGGGAGCACAGTATAGCTTCTGGGGGCCACTTTGGGCCCCTGTATAGATTCTTGGGGCTACTGGGGGCCATCATATAGCTTCTGGGGGCTTCTGGAACCTAATAATTAATGTATTTTGCCAGGTTTCACCTAAATCTTCAAATATGGGGGCTGTCAGGAGGGGGTTAAATTAAGTTATAATTTTTTTAAACAAATTCATGCGACTATTTATCCCTAAAGCAAAGGGAGAATAACTTCCTTTTAACTCATTAAGAATGTGAAATGTAAAAACCTCATTATCAAGTGATGTTACCATAGCATCTGAAATGTTAGAAATATTACATAAACCATATGATGAATCATCTTCACTTCTAATCATGCTATATACTTCAGATGCTTTAAGAATCAAGAATATGAAGAATATGATGAAAATCAGACTATATGTATACTATTTATATGAATCATGGAAAGTGCATGGTAAATTACAAAATTGGATCTCTATTAATATACAGAGTCGAGATAACCATTTTGACCCCTGTGTATGATAGTCAAAATACATGTAACCTTTCCACATACTTATAAGTTCAGTTATATGCTGATTCGGCATGCACATTTTTACTCAATATAATTGAAACAACTATGGTTGTTAATTTTTTTTTGTTCAATTTAATATTCTTTTTATAATTGTCAAACAATGACGTTCACAGTAGCTGCCTCCAAAGCTGGATAATTTGGTTAATTCTGATCTAATTTTGAAGATTTGTTGTCTCTTTAATGTTGCTTATATCTTCCACTCGTCAAATAAGGGACAAAACTATGCACATATTCTGTCATACGGCCTCAGTTCTAATAGATATGTTGCTATACTGGGATATTCTGAACCAAAAATGGATTGATGACGTCACAATTAATGCAAATTAGCTAATTTGCATAACTGAATATTGTAACCATATAGTAAATTTAACTAGATTGGTAAATTGAACAAGTTCAATTTAAAACTCCAGATTGATTTACTTGAGTAAAGAGCTGAGTAAGTAACTGAGTAGGAAGCTGAGTAAGTACAGGGTGGTAAAAAAAAACGGCAACCCTAATTTTTCCTCATATCTTTGTCATTTTTAGAAATTTTGCCCTGATATTTGGCACACTTGTACATCATTCAATTTCGTACAAGACTGTATTATGTCATGAACATTGGACTGATAGTCCCAATGTTACAGTACTTTAAACAAGGTGCCTCAGTTTTCCAATATCGTGCTGTAGGCAAACCTGCACACGATTTTCAAACCTGTCAATGACATAACTGCATTCCTCAGCAAGTATGGCCTGAACGACACATGTGATCTTTATTTTGAGGTCAAATGTCTTTCTTGTGTTATTACTCTACACTCTATCTTTGGAGTATCCCCACTGGTAAAGATTAAATGGGGCCATATCTGGACTATGGGGTGCCCATTCATTGTCTGTTGTACTGCTGATAATGTGGTCATTGAAGTGGTCCCAAAGCCATTATTGTGCATCATTGGGTGTTTGGGGTATGGTTCTGTCTTGTTGGAACAACTGTTGCTGCCTTTCAACTTCCCTGGGTTCACCTAAAGTCCCCAATAACTCAATGGGAATCACAAAATAGAGTTTGATGTTGACAGTAATTGCATATCCATTGGCATCATTAAAGGTAAAGGACCATATTTTCTGAGAACACACTAAACTGTGCATCTGTCTGTGTGAAGGTGCATCTCCACTACTCTATTAAGTGCTTGGCTCCCCAAGAATACATAATTGTTAGAGTTTACCAGTGCACCAAGTTGGAAATGGAGTTCATTTGAATAACAGACCAGCTCAGACAGCCTGAAAGTGGCCTTATGGGGCATGTTGCTTAAAATACAGTAATCTTGTGATTATCAGTCCGATGGTCATGAAATATGGTAGGTTGGTAGGAAATTGAATGATGTACAAATGTGTAAAATATCAGAGAGTTATTCCTTAGAATGACAGAGATATTAGGAAAAACTAGGGTTGCCGTTTTTTTGACCACCCTGTAGATGATTAGTAATTGACTAAGTAGCTGAGTAGGTAGCTGAGTAACCAGCTGAGTAGGTAGCTGAATAAGTAGCTGAGTAAGTTGCTGAGTAGGTAGCTGAGTAAGTAGCTGAGTAGGTAGCTGAGAAGTAGGTAGCTGAGAAGTAGGTAGCTAAGTAGGTAGCTGAGTAGGTAGGTAGGAAGGTAGGTAGGTAAGTAGGAATTTTTGACCGGAAGTCGGAGTGAAATTTGGTTTGCAGATTCAGATTCCTGAGAAAATTCTACCCTTAATTCATAACTCATACGTTAAACTTGGAGATGCTTTTATTTTGACCTACTTTTCGGACAACATATCTCAAAAGTAGGTTGAAATACTTTCTGACGGCAAAAGGCTAACACTATAAGCACCCTCTTTGCTACCTGTATACAAAATTTCGAAGCAAATCATTAAAATGTAGTGTCAGAATCACAAAAATAAGGAAAAACTATGAATTTGACCTAGATTTTGACCTAGGTATTTTGCTGTCCAGATTTTGAAGCTAGTTGGCTTTTGAGGTCCCCTTCTTTTAAGGGCTATCACTATATTAAGCTGTACTCAGTCTATATCTCTTATATTACACTTCAAAAAAATCTTTTTTCCCATTGACTTAACATGGGGCACAAATTTAGCGATTTTTGAGCTTTCAAAACGCCCTAACTTCTGAACCGGGAGTCGGATCGAAATTTGGTTTGCAGATTCAGATTCCTGAGAGAATTCTACACTTATTCCATGATTCACATGTTGCATTTGGAGAGGCGGATGTTCTGTTCTACTTTTCGGACGCCATATCTCAAAATCGGTAAGAGTAATCGAAAAACGATTTGCCTTTCGGAATTAGCGTTTTTTCAAAGGAACATGATGAAAAAAACCCAGAGCGAAAATACTGAATGACGACTGAGAAAACTGGCAAAATAGTGAAAACACAAGATTTGACCTAGTTCTTGACCTTTGACCTAGATAAAAATTTGACCTAATTTCCCAGAAAGCCGGATACAGTCTTTAGTTAACCATGTAAGTTGGATTAAGTAAGCTGTTATAGTTGACGAGAAATTTGGTGAGGAGGAAGAAAAAAGAATAATAACTAGATTGGTGAAATTGAACAAGTTCAATTTAAGACTCCAGATTTATTTGACCTAGATAGATCAGTAAAGAGCTGAGTAAGTAACTGAGTAATTAGCTGAGTAAGTACCTTAGTAGTAGTTGAGTAAGTAGCTGAGTAAGTTACTGGGTAAAAAGCTGAGTAGGTAGCTGAGTAAGTACCTGAGCTAGTAGCTGAGTAAGTAGCTAAGTAAGTAATAACTAATTAAGTAATTGAGTAAGTAGTCAAATAAGTAGCTGAGTAGGTAGGGAGGTAAAGAAGGGTATGTAGGAATTTTTGAAAGTATATTTGATCAATCTGCATCGTGAATACTGGTAAGTGCGAATTTCAAACTTCAAAATGGCGTAGAATCTTAACCGGGGGTCAGATTGCAATTTTAATTTCGGATCCGGATTCTGGATTCCTATCATTGAAGTGTAGTGTCTGAATTGCAAAAATAAGAAAAAAAAACTATGAATTTGACCTAGATTTTGAGTTAGGTATTTTTGTGACCAAATTTTGAAGGAAAGTAGCTTTTGAGGTCCCCTTCTTTTAAGGGCTTTCATTATGTTTAGCTGTACTCATTCTGTATATCTCGTATTTTTACACTTCAAAAAATTATTCGGTCCCATTGATTTTACATGGGGCACCAAAGGAGGAGGGAAGTTAGTGCAACAGATTTTGGACAGTCATATGTTTGATTTTGGCCATTTCCTGGGGATTTAAACAGGTGCATATGTTAGGCGAATGCATTACCTCCAGGAAAATCACTTCTAGAGATGATAAAATAATTTCGAATTTGAGACAGGGTAGATGCAAACAATCCACCCACATGTTTTTTCTGAAATGTTTTCCTAATTTTCGACCCCTTCCACCCCTGCTTTTTCAATTTTTCTTGCATCAATATGTTGCATTTTGACACATAGTTAACCACTTTAAAGGAATAAGTGATTCCTTCAGGGGTTTTAAAGATACCCATTATGGGTGACCAAACTTAGCTGAAAGCAATGATTTTTCCTATGGGAAAATAACATGGGAAATATTGTTTTCCACTTTATCTAAAAGGAATCATTTATTT